TTATTCATTAAATAGATGGGCAAAGGTCGTTTTTAATTCGTATCTTCTATATCATGATATCAGGTATCACAGATATTTGAAAATAACGATATCGGCCATCTCCGTGATCTCTCAATGCAAGAATATGTTCTTGAAGAGTGCTTTTTCAATAGCCTTTCCAATCTTTTGGAGTGGCTGATGATCAATGCTTGAAAAGTTTCCAGCTAAGTCGTACAAGGAGCCTAAAAGATTGAACAAGTTTTCATCAGGGCCAACTGAGAGTAATATGGAAAGCTAGAGGAAGATGGCGATAGTTGGGATGGTAGATCATATCTAGGATTATAAACAGAAAAATATTTCATTTTCTAATCAGCTGTTCACGTTAATATATGTTAAGATGTAATGAAATCGGCAAAAATAGTCGTCTACCTATCTGCTTTTGACAATTTGACCTCCAGCCACACATGTGCCGCCTAGCGGGGGCATAATCGAACCGAGCTGTCATGTGACAGGCACGAGTATCACGTATCTTGGAAAGTGACATTATGCCGATTTTTGTTGACATTATGATGTTTTTTTTTGACATTATGTAGGTTATTCTACAAGATGTTAACTTAGCACTTAGTTGTACGTGTTGCCTAAACGTCATGAGGCTTGTTGTCAATCTTTGGCTCTGATGTGTGTAAAATCTACTTCTGAGATGGCATTACTGGAGGTCTAAGCTGTAAGTTGTATGTGTTGATGATAATTACATTGGGTTCTTGTCTCAAACACACTTAATCGAGATTCAAAGCTAGAAATTAGTTGGGCATCCACTTTTTCTTACCCATTCTGGAGATTACATATACAAACTTGCTGAATTTCAAAAATGAGAGAGACAAGAAATAATTATATACACTGTACACTCTCGAATTACAAGCCATATACATTCTAACAGTAATTACACACGGGCGCAGTGATGATTTCCCGTAATTCTCCTCAGTTTTTCGTAATCCATAACTTTGAACATAACCTCTCTTCAGAAGGCACAACATATAAATAACCCGTCATATTCGGCATATGCAGAAATGATTTTCTCACACAGCAAATATCACTGATTTTATACACATGCAGACCAATACACTTAATCATCCAGATGCGATCTTGCTATTCAACCAACTTTTTTTATCAGAGATAAACATTTAAGACCCGGATCACGCAGCCTCACAAAACTATGCAACCACTAATGCGTAGTTTAGTTGAGCGATTCCTCCATAGATGGACGTTCACAACGATCCTAGTGAGCAAACGCCGAATAACTGTTTGCGCCCTAAAAACTACCTGGTCTGCAAGTTGACATCTTATAGGTTTTTTTGACGTTTTATAGGTTTTTTACATGATACCCATGCCGAACTGTTCCTGATTTTTTACCTGATAATAGTGGGGTTGAGAATTCTTACTCAATCAATTACGAAAATAGCAGTGCATCTCACCGTTATCATTCAATAAGAAAGACCTCTGTACCGCCTGGATTATTTTGGCGCCGCTTCAAAACCTGAAACGTAACCAGCTTGAATCAACGTTTACATTCTTGTGACGTGCAGCTTACACACTCGTCGATAACTTGTTTGCGCAACGCAGTATTAGGAGGGTTCGAAAATAGAATACTATTACCTTGACACTGATTCTTATAATTATTGAGGTACTGACGTATGAATCACCAGTAATAAAACGTCAAGATACGTATGCAGCACAACAAGTTGCAGGCTCATGTGCCGAATGGATGTTGCAGTCAACCATCTATATAACTGAAACATCCTGTAAACTGAAATATTTACAGGTACGGCGCAAGTTGCGGCACAGTCCGTTGCGCACGTCACTTGGCGCATTTGTGTGTTCGGTGCTTGTAAGGCGACATGTTGCTTACTGCGCAAAGTGGTGACACTGCCACCTATGAGCATTTCGCCAAAGCTTGATACATTCCGACCTATATGTCAGTAGCACTAAACGACATTCGCATCCCAGCGGCTGTGAATGACAGTCCGCTTCGATGACATGGAAAATCATTGCCTACGACAATAGGCACTCAAGGGAGCACTAAGGCCCCTATCGTCAGTCATCCCTACAATTGTAGTGCGCGTTTATGGACTCTGTATTACATATATATATATATATATATATATATATAACTTGAGACGTGGTCATTGTCGTCTAGACCAGTTAGGTGAAAAATTAAAGCTTCCGCCTTTTGTTGGGTACTTCGACAAAATTTAAGCAAAGAGGACTCTTTATACTTTTTTTAATTCTCTCTAGCTTTCAATGGACTTTGCCATCATCATCAGGAGCTGCAATTACAATGATAACAGTAGCAACAAAGGTGTAAAATGAATTTAAATTGACTCAACTTACAGTAGTATGTGAGGATGTTGCTAATTGTTGTTTACGTATAGGATGAGGGAAACGTCCAGTAACATGGTGAGAGCTGGATAGATTGTACAATAGTCAAACTTATATAAAATATGACAAGAACAAGTTAAAAACAGATTAAAAATTATTTAAAAAATTTTTAGAGCATTACATCGTGAAGCCACTTGATGATTGCACAAATTAGTGGTCATGGAATGATGAGTGACATGAACACCTTTGACAGAAGGCCGAAGGATGTCAATGTCAGTATTGAAAGATGGAACGAATTGTGGGCGTGTGCCAAAACGTTGCCAAATCACTTCAGATGATGAGATTTTCAGAATTTTATGTTAGAATTTGTTAAACCAACCAGAGGCAGTTGAATAAACTATATTATTATTAATGGGAATTTGAATTAACAATTATTAATAAATCGTGAGGAGAGAATTATTATATTTTGAGTGGAATGAAATTTACTGGTGGAATCGGCCAAAACACAGATTCTAATTATGGTTGTGAAGAGTTGAAATTTGGGGAGATATGTAAGTTCTCCAATTTTTCGCAGTTTAGCAAATATGAGTAAATGACACTCAGTTGTTTAACATCTGTCTTTTTGTTGATACAGATGCTAGGCTTCATCCTGAAAGATGCGCTCTAGCATCTCATGTTAACACAACAGGGCATTCTATGAATTACACAAGTATCAAAGTTCTTGATAAAGAAAAACACCTTTCCAAACGTTTATTCCTGGAAATGTCCCACATTTTCATGAATAACAACTGTATCAACAAAAAGACAGATGTTAAACAACTGAGTGTCATTTACTCATATTTGCTAAACTGCGAAAAATTGGAGAACTTACATATCTCCCCAAATTTCAACTCTTCACAACCATAATTAGAATCTGTGTTTTGGCCGATTCCACCAGTAAATTTCATTCCACTCAAAATATAATAATTCTCTCCTCACGATTTATTAATAATTGTTAATTCAAATTCCCATTAATAATAATATAGTTTATTCAACTGCCTCTGGTCGGTTTAACAAATTCTAACATAAAATTCTGAAAATCTCATCATCTGAAGTGATTTGGCAACGTTTTGGCACACGCCCACAATTCGTTCCATCTTTCAATACTGACATTGACATCCTTCGGCCTTCTGTCAAAGGGTTTCATGTCACTCATCATTCCATGACCACTAATTTGTGCAATCATCAAGTGGCTTCACGATGTAATGCTCTAAAAAAATTTTTTAAATAATTTTTAATCTGTTTTTAACTTGTTCTTGTCATATTTTATATAAGTTTGACTATTGTACAATCTATCCAGCTCTCACCATGTTACTGGACGTTTCCCTCATCCTATACGTAAACAACAATTAGCAACATCCTCACATACTACTGTAAGTTGAGTCAATTTAAATTCATTTTACACCTTTGTTGCTACTGTTATCATTGTAATTGCAGCTCCTGATGATGATGGCAAAGTCCATTGAAAGCTAGAGAGAATTAAAAAAAAGTATAAAGAGTCCTCTTTGCTTAAATTTTGTCGAAGTACCCAACAAAAGGCGGAAGCTTTAATTTTTCACATATATATATATACATATATATATATATATATATATATATATATATATATATATATATATAATTACTTTTGGCCATCACGGTGGCCTTGCTTCAAGGTGCAAATTATTGACAATTACAATATGCGTACCATGCCGAGATCACGCAATACCATCATTACAGTTTTAAGACGGCACCAGGTGAAACCAGCAAAGCCAGAGATCGCCTGGGGTGGGCATTCCCTCTCCAGACGATCAGTCTTACGTAGCGATAAGGAAACATGAGGTTATCTGTCGTTTTGGATGCACCAGACCAGGCGTTCTCCGTGAGTGCGAAAACCCACCCTCAAGTTTCTAACGCTCAGTTTCTTACACACTTCCATAACTAAATTTCCTTTACGAAGTGTAATAATACAATCGATCAACCATTATGACGATTTTATTGAGTTTCCAGACAAGTATTTCAACAACGGGAAGGTTGATATTCTTCAAATTTCAATATGACTTACCGCTTTATTACCATTCAAACTTCATATGATCGTCAATTTAAGTATTTTTGTAAGTACGCTCTGACAAAATTGAAATTAGAAATTAAATGTATATGTTTTGTGGATTATCACAGCAACTAAATGGTATATATCGTTACTTCCACAGAAACATGTGTCAATTCAGTAGCTCAAACCTCAGCGAACCAAAATAATGCAACTTTTCCACTTACTTATACGATGTGTCATAATTACAGTTATATTAATACCGCTTTTTATATATTTTTTGTGAGCGCAGGAGATGATAACGGATGTTTTGGCTAATGAATGCTTGTTTGTATCCTGTCAATTCCACTATTACGAGGAGGTTCGGGAAAGCCGCTCCTCTTAGCACTGTGTTTAGGTTCGTTTCAGTATTCCTGTTTTCTCTGAAATATACTCTGTATTTATATATGTACGGCACTGTGTTAAGTTTTATGTATATTCACCATGTAATTGGCTGTAACTGTTGTGAAAATTCCAAACATTTCTGTATATTGTGACAAAACACAAGTAGCACCTTAAGGAAGACCACCTTGTTCGACCTACAGACTTCTTAACATATTTAGCTGCCAATTCCAATTCCACCCTATTTAATCTTTTCTTCGAGAAGTACATACACCCACGGATTCTGGTGATCGATCACGTAGATAGCCTTCTATGAACAGCATCGAGCATGGATGATGTAACACTCCAAACACATAAGCAAATAGTCTAGATTTTTCCGACAGATGTCGCGACTGCCGAGATATGTTCCAGCCGAAATGAATGATTCTTTGGGAGAACGCAGCCGTCCATCGAAACCGGATAAGAGCTAGGGCTGTTTCTGTTAGACAAGGCATACGTAGTACTGTTTTTTGAAAGAGTTGTTTGTCCCGAAACAGTGATGGGCTCAAGATTTCTCGTTAAAGATAAAGTCGATGCTAGTTTTCTTCGCTTCAGCTCGCCGGCAGAGATCGGCTTCGCACTCCCAACCCCTCCATGTAGAGTGCTGTCGTCCGCAAAGCTGTGGATTGGATTGATCATATAGGAACGTTGAATTGTTTGTGCTTTTAACTGGGATATCAAGCAAAACACAACAAATCAACAATAAATAACATATATTATCATCAATCCTAGGTTTCTTCAAAATAAATAATAATTTCCATTCACTCATCACAATTTTCATATACATATTCTACATAATTAGGAACTAGCAACTCGATCGCACACCTTTGCGCAATATTGATGTTATTCTGATTGTCCAAAATCTCATTCAGCTCTTTCCTTTTGGATAGAACCTTCTCTACAATCTGGCATTGTCCGCCTTCGCACACATCGTCCCTCAGGATGTTCAAATCATCCAAGACCCTTTTGAACTGTTTTATCAGCTCTGGAGTCATATCATTGATCATTTTAACGGCTGCGTCTCTGTTATCTTCCACAATAAGGCCCATCCTACACAGCATATCTTTACGGCATTTTCTACGTATTTTCTTGCTGTTCAAGATGAACGGGTTGAATAGCACAGTGAATGGTGCGGGATTTCTCTCGAATACGTCTTCTGTACGACGCTCCAAGGTGTTTCTGACGATGTTCCAGTCGTTGGCATTTTCAACGTCTATGCCTATCTGTAAGGACACTGCTTTATTCTTCAGAGCTTCTGTTATGATCAATGTTGGAACCTGAGAGGTAGAGGAAAAATGTATTAGCACAAAGGCAAATAAGGCACACACCAGGTCTCACAGTAGTTCCAGAAAAAGCGTTTTACGTATGACACCAGATTTTATTAACAGTTAGAAGAATGCATTATTCATCTTTATTTTACTTATATGGCTTTGCATGTCGACTTATAGTAAACTGAATGTCTGTCCCGTCCCATTGAACGTGAAAATGACGAGAAGCCCGTGTAAAAAAACTGATAGTTCAAAATAAGCAACTCCATGGGAATGTGGCTCAATCGACACATTTTCGATGGGATAACAAGAATTGTAAAATTGATGATTTTCCGTGATTCATAGTGAATGAGAACTGAAAAAGTTTGGATTCCGCTCTATTTCGAATAAAATGTTGAGAAAAATGTCAATTTTTATTGCAGTAGAGTGCAGCTTCACCATTTGATTTACTCTTATGCCATATTGGATCCGTCAGTTTGATTCTTGTTAAATCAACATTGAATTCATACTAAATTCGTTACCAGCGACCATTAAAATGTTCGACATATTGAATTTGCCTTATTGATGTTCCTAAAATCAATATCAAATTCGTTACGTACAAAGCTCAAATGTCAGCGCAATCCAAATATTTTAATGCGAACATTTCGGCCATTTTGATTTTTGAACCACTGTGGAGTGTCAAAGAATTCAAATAATTATTACACCTGAGACATATACAACATTTTAGATTCGACCGATCGATTTTAAGCCTGTAGAGCGGTTTTTAGTACAATTAGGAACAATTAAATTGACGTTTATTGTTTTTTTTTTGACATTGTGTAAGTTTCTTGTGACGTAACGTAGGTTTTTCTACAAGATGTTAACTAAGCACTAGCTGTTGTACAATTGTTGTGAACTCGTTTTGCAGCTGTACGTGTTGTCTAAACGTCAGGATACTTCAGCCATCAATGTTTGGCTCTGATGTGCTTCGGAGACGGCATTATTGGTCACAGCTGTAAGTCATATACAACAGCTGGAAGGAAACGGCAGTGCATACGTGCACAGTGAGGATTTGTGTCCTAATAATCTGTGTTGATGGTAATTCCATTGGTTTCTTGTCTCGAATACACTTACTTGAGGTGTATTCAAAGCTAGAAATTAGTTGGGCATCCACTTTTTCTTATTCATTCTGGAAATTACCTATAGAGATTTGCTGATTTTCAGAAATGTGAGAGATAAGAAAAGAAGACACCTGGATGGTGAAGAATATTACAAGTAACGTGAGAAAATATGCTTTTTCAGACAGGGATATTTAGAAAGCTTACAAAAGTTAATTCTGTTGGCCAGCCTCTCTCCAGAAAGAACAAAGTAAATAACCTTTCGGGCACAGCTAATAGATATACTTCATTGGTAGCATATTCAGTAATAGATTTCTCACATAGCCTATATCACTATATTCACATGCAGAATAATCCATATAACCATCCAGCTGCGATCTTGCTACTCAACCAACTTTCTTTGTTTCACATCTTCTCAGAGATAAACACTACAGACTACTAGGCTTTTTCCAACCAACAAGCAACCAACAATGCATTTTGTGTCGTTGAGTCATGCCTCCATATAAGGACGCTTTTTATGGCGCTCACAGCGATCATAGCGAGCAAACTTGGAATGAACTATGTATTTGCACACTAAAAAATACCTAGTCTGCATCTTGTCGGATTTTTTTAAGTTTTTTGGATGCCATGTTGTAATCGACATAACTAATTCGTACATAAAGTGGATAAAATGTGCCTTACTGCCCTGAAGCATGATGAATTAATGCCTGGAAATCCTATCCATAAAGTATAATTCTCCATCAACGTGCAAAGTAGAAACGGCACACTTTTCATGTTTATGATATAAAATAAACGTTACACATTCGTAACTTTTTTCTTTCTTTCAGCAACTAAATAAACGTGTAGCCTAAAATATTCCATGAAAAATCATAGTAAAAAAAATTAAAATGCCTTCACCAAGATTCGTATCGAATCGTAGTAAAAAAATGTTAGGACTCTCAAAAAATCAAAATGGGAATTCGTTTGATTCTCCTTGTATTCTGGCTATAGGGTCGGATATTAAGTTAAAAATTACCATGCGTAGGAATTTTCTGGCAACTGAAGCGGCAGGTCCATGGTAAGCACTGTAGACGTTTGCCAAACGATCAGCGACGAGACTCTTCCATGAATCGAAGAAAGTTGCCGGCAATGGACATTTTTGTACTGGGTTGATCTGATTGCAAGCTGAAAACACATAGTTACATAAGTCCTCTATGCGCCTAGTAGCATGGGCACTATCTTGGCATCTGTTGGGAAAAATACTCTGATTCAGATTTTTCCATAATCTTATTCAGAAAGGGCTCATTCCAACGAATCTGCATGTTGCCAGAATTAAATGTGCGTCCCAAAAACTTGTAAACATTTTTTTTACAAATTATAAAAATTGGTGTTTAAGATCCTCTATCTAGGTTTGATCAAAAAGGTGCTATAGAACTTTTCTCTAAACTTCGCTAGTCTTCGAAATATGAGCGGTAGAATATTTGGAGAATATTCCATTTTCGACTCCGAAAAACAATATGAAAAAACTAAAGTCTTAATGTTGCAAACAGTATTCTTCAGAGAAATTTATTCATACAATCAAATTTATTATGTCAAGCCTACTAATGCATATAGTAACTTCATATTATACCAGCCTCAGGAAATATCCGAAACATACCAGATGTATAGTGAACCTAACCTAGAAAAAACAGAATATTGCTTGAAATATTATATTATATTGAACAAAATATATATTTTATTCACTGAAACAAAGCAGCTATGTCATATTTAGTAAATTTGAATGCCTTTCGTCATTTCTTTGACGAAATATTTTGAGACCGAACGAGATCACGGAACTCCATTATTGCCTTTACAGTCCGTAAGAGTGGTATTAGGTAGTAAATAGAATTGATACTAGCTCTAGCATTTATAAAACAGACGCTCCGTAATGTTGGTTGAGGTAAGGCATCGAAGACATAAAGTACTCGTAGATTATGTAAAACGTCCTAGGATCTAGTAGCTTTGATTAATCAGGCAACCATGTGCGTCACTGTCATTATATGACGTTGTGACGTAACTGCTATGATTCAGTGAATAATCTATATGTAAAATATTTCCCCAAACCAAAACGCCAAGCCAAACTATAACGATTGTAACATCAGTCACAAAGCGTAATCACATTAAGTAGTGAAGGTTGGTACCTAAGAAAAACAACGAAATGTAACTAGAATCCCCCCAAAAAATTGACGCAAAATCAGAACAAGCTCTTTTTGGTAATTTTTTCATAAATGAAGACATTGGTGACAATTTTTATGTTTACACGCTTAAGCTTCTTCAAGGTCAAGAAATTGCTCGTGTAAAGCAGCAAGGATATCAATTAACAAAGTCCCAAAGCATTAGAGGACGTATTATTATTGTAAACCCTTGTTTTTAATTGTGAATCGAGCGCGCTGTTGCTTGACAATTAAAAGAAAATGTTCACAATAACAAATAGTCCTCAGATGCTTTGGGATTTTGTTAATGGATGTTTGAAGAATATTAAGGAACATTGACAACATTAAAATTTTCGTTTTTTCATATTGTTATTCGGGGTCGAAAATGACATATTTTGTATCTTTCCAAATATTGTATCGCTTATATTTCGAAAACTTGAGAGAAAAGTTCTAAAGCACGTTTTTAGGTCACAATGTCCGAAAACCGCAAATTAGTTAGAATCCAGCAAATAACAAATTGTTATACAAGTGTTTGTAAAAAATAATAAACACACATTAAAAACAAAAAATACTAATGTCATTTAAAATTGAATACTGTCAATTTTATCGTGTAATTTTCACAACTGAATTCAAAAAATTTCCACAACCAGTTTTACACTAAGATATAGTATCCATAATACTTCAATTCCCGGCATTTCAGCTCGCTGACTTGAACCATCCAAAAATAAGTAGGCTGGACCTTTTTGATTCGCACTGGATAACCCAACTAGTGTAAGATAAAAAGCAGAGCTTTTCGGTTCCATCTAGCAGGGTTAGAAACAGAACCGCATTAAAAAATGTCTTTGGAGAGTGAATTCTGCAGGCTAATCTACAGAAAAAGAAAATATTCTCACTGCTTTTAAACGTAGTTTCTGACTTGAAAATATTCCCACTGTCTTCTTTTGAATCACACTGTAAGTTATTATTAAATGTGGTGACAGTATTGCAAATAAAGCATGCATTGTCACGCGAATCCTGTTTGGATAAGGCGTGTTTCCATGTTGGATGACAGCGGCTGAAATAAGCCGGTATGAATAGCCGGAAATTCTATGCTGGTCTCCATGTCCTTTATTAAAACTGTCTTTCAAGCACGCGTTCATATCATTTCATAAATAATACATTTTATATTCAATACACCAACCCGTTAATTTAGTACAGGGGGAGATGCAAACTGGCAGATCGCGTAGCTTCTGTATGTATTAACGAAGTTTCATTTAACTTTGAATATAATATAACTTCTGAAAGTTGTCCAGTGGTTCTCTTTTTAATCCATTATCCATTTTCTCTCTTAGACTAAGAAATATGGAGATTTTCTATAAGGAAGTCCTATAATTTTGGCGACCGCAAAGTTTTGGAGGTATCGTTAGAGATTGTTGCTTTCTAATGATAAGTTCAAATTGGCGTTATTATTTGCTGAATAATTTACCGCCATTTTGCGTTTCATCGGGAATCTCAAAAACAATCCATCCTAAAATAGTAATAGAGACAATCTTTGTAGAGAAATTGAAGGGTAGAGGTACATCTAATGTTTCCACTTATAATTGCTAAGCTAAGAATCTAAGAGTAAAAAACACTACTATTTTTTGTAGAATATTTTCTGCAAAAAAGGTCTTTTATTAATTAATTAGATTTTTGAAGTACTTTCTTCATAATTTTCCCTAAGCTACTGAAAAAGTCTTTAATGCTTTGGCCCACATTTATTCTTGATAAAATACAGTTTAGTAATCAAAGTTAAGTGATAGTAATGACGAAGGTAGTAACTACGAGTACATATATCATTTTGATGGATTTTTAATTAGCAGGTAGAAGCTCAACTTTGAGAAATTGTTTCTACTACATACAAAAAAATATGTATATTTTGAAAGCTATTTGCCACTGTAACGTATCTTACGAGGATCATAAACGGTGCGACACGTGCAAAAGATTTACTATTATCGGCATGCACATAGCGTAATTGGTTGAAAGCTTTGGTAGTGCGACATGTATCTGTGCATTGCGCAGAATGCCTATATAAGAAGTGGAGCCTTCTGTTGACGCAGACATTGTAGTATTTGACAATATCCTAGTTTCTTTAAAATTTTAACAACATGTATGCACTGTTACGAAATAAGTTAATTTCTCAAAAAAATGCAATAAAAGTCCTACAGAAATCCAGATAATAAAATAATATATAATATGCGCCACGCTGTAGTATGTGACACTTCTGGGACCTGTTGGGCTAACTGCCTTGTGCTTATTCCCGGACTTTCTCTCACAATATCCAAAATTTCGTCTTCGGCATTTAAAACGCGTTGTGTGCGAACCCGACCCCTATACACTCCTCGTCTGGGGCGCAAATCTCCACTAGCACGTGCACGTAAAACAATAGAACCAAATACTATCCAAGTGTAGTTTTAAATCTAAATAAAATAATTTGTCAAAACTAGGCAAATACTTTAACCTACAATAATTCAACATATTTAATAAATATAACTGAATCGTTTTAATTGCAGCATGTAAACTCATTTCAATAGTTTCTTAAATTTAAGTATATTGGTGTACTTAATCTAAGTGAACGCTTAAATAAATTAAAATCTAACGCGTGCGTTTTGATTTGATTAAACTAGTTTTATGGAATACTGTTTTAAAAACCGGAGCTTAATTAAGCTATTTAAACTTTTCAGTTATTGATTAATTTTTTTAATAAAAAACTAGTTTTAAAAAAAAATAGTTTAGATGATGATCGTAAGTTTATTTGCCTATCACACAGTATTTTGATTTTCATAAGCGATCATACCAACTTGTTTGCTTTCCGTTCATCTGTTTCCAGGACTATTAGAACCCTCCCACACTAATTAGTTGCTAATGAGCGCGAAACAGTACTGTCTGCGATTGGTCGTGCTTATAGGGACGGAAAACAAACATGCCCATTTTTACTAGGTAACATACATATCTGCGAATACTCGTAACTCTTACGAAAAAGCAGTCGATATCTAAAATGCGAAGCGTAACTCTAAGGGCATCGAATCCTAACATGATCTCTACCATCGAATTGGAAGGACGTGCATCAGGGCTTGCTTCCGTTCTTTCACGTATCTGCAGATATCTTACTACTCTAGCATTTTCTCGAGAGAAATTTGACTTATATTTAACCGGTCTCAAAAAAGGATCAAAGACTGGCGATCGAGACGTGAATAGACAAGGGCTTGTAAAATATTCCAGGCATCGCTGCTTGATTAGCGATAGGTAGCAAGTTTGTTAAGTCTCAAATAAGCTCTTGTATAATAGATTCCAGAATTGCTACCACTCAAGAAGAAAGTTTCCAGAGTACCTGAGATATTTTTCCAATAACCTTGTGATCTCCAAACTCGGTGTAATGTTTGCACCAAAACTTATGTACCGTAATGATTTAACATAGCATATAGATATAAAACAAGTATTCCTTACCGTTTTGTGACCTCACTAGCACAACACAAGCTGCAACAGACACAAAGAAAGCGCACTGCTTCATGATCGCAAAAAAATGCGGCGAATTTGACTAAAAAAGACCTCCAGTGTAATGACAGAATACTTAGAACAGGTAGGTCTGAGTGCAAAAACCTCCGCGAACGTTTCCGCAAGTGCGTCTACCAGAAGTATTTACATTAGAAAGACGTGCTTCAAAGTGTTTTCGCGTATCTCCAAATCATCAACAGCGTGCTGATGGCAGGTCATTCTGGGCCAAGGCCGACTTTTTAAATGACCCACTGGCACTGTGGTACTCGCTGTAACGGTAAAGTCTTCGCACGAGGGGCAATGCCTTGATACCACCGCTGCTATCTCGAGCAGTCGTGTGTATAACCGGAAAGGCGAAAGAAGAGAGCCGGTCTCTTTCTTGCGAAAGTGCTGGCGGTTTCGAGGTCTAGGCGATGATATATCAAAAACGATTATTCGGACCATAGTGCTTGACAATCTCAGCATTGTTTGAATTGAAGGAAGTATGCAATACAGTGACGAAAAGCTATTCTTCACACTAGTTCCTAAAACCATAAATATTACTGAAATGTAGAACGCCATACCGCCTAGTTTCAAAACCTGTGAACACGGTGTACTTTATCTATCTGTGATTTCCTGGAACTTCGCGACGATGAAAAATGATTCCTCCTTAACTTCACGGCGTCCACAAATCGAAACGCTCACTATTAATACTCTGTTGGTTCTCCAACCTGTCTACAAATAGAGACACTTGTTTCACTAGCCTACGGCTAAGTAATCGGTACACTTGAGCTCAGATAGTAGTATCTCCAAATTCATTCTTCTATTAAGATCCTCATTTCTAAAGCCAATTTTTCACTTCACACGTCTACTGGTATTTTGTAATCGCGAAAATGTAAAATATTTTCAAGTTTCTGAAATGGACGCTACGGGAGTAACTGCAATCTTAAATCTAAAAGATTGATGTTTCTCTGAATTCCTTCATATTAAACTAACAAATAAATACCTGATCTTGAAAGTCGAGGATAATGTGAACTTTTTTGTTTTACAATTTTTGCTGTATCTCTGAAAATAAAGTGATGGGGGGTATTCACAGGTTGCCGTGAAGAACACCCTGTATCTTCTAAACAGCTGAGTCGATTTTAACAAACTTGGGCTAGTTGAAAAGAGGTATTTCTGGGCTACATATGTTATAATATTTGAAGTTTTGTTAGTCTTACATGTGGCCGGTAGAGGGGGGTTTCTTCGACATTCCGACAGAAATGATTAATTTTCTCAAAAAATTAAATGCTTTGGTATGTTCTGTTTTATGAAAAAGTAGCTAAATGCTGGCAAAACAAGCTCGCGAAAACCACATCACGATATCTTGTTCCTAACCTAAAATTTAGGTCAAAGAAGACTTTATACGGAAATCACTTGAATTTTTTTAACCTGATTTTTCTGGAATTTCTTTTTATCTATTAAGTTGTGGCCTTAAAAAGCTCTGAAGCCTCTCATTGGTAGACAAAACTGCAGCTTCAGTTTCGGCTCTCAGTATATTTTACGTATTGCATTACAAGTCCAGTTTTTCACATCTTCTCTGGTCGTTGGTTGAGTCTGAAACACGATATTCTTTAACCGTCCCCATAAATAAAAATCAAGACAAGTTAAGTCTGGTGAAGGCCATAAAACCAGACTTCCTCTTCCAATCCACCTCTGTTGAAATATGGCATTAATATGATCCCGCACAATAATAGCAAAATATGCTCGGCAACCATCCAAATCAATAGAATATTTGCCGTGTTTCCAATGCCATATCTCCCAACAACAACGGTAATTGATTGTCCAAAAAGTCAAGAAAGACATCGCCTTTTAAGGATTGCCCGAAAAAAATACGGCCCAATAATTCTGCCTCCCAGTATGCCACACCACACATTTAAACTCCAACGCCCTTGGTGCTGAACTTCAAGCAACCAATGCGAATTTTCTGCAGACAAAAAATGCATAATATTGTGCAGATTGACTCTACTATCACAATTAAAGGTGACTTCATCGGTCCAAAGAATCTGAAATAAAAATTCTCTATATTCATGCCTAATATCCAATGGCAATAGTCCAACCTCCGATAAAAGTCTTCCTCATTAAAGGACTAATGCAAAACGACATAATATATTGCATTTTGTTAATTCTAGTATATTAATACACTTTCAACCCCGGTAATGCTGCACACCTACTCACACATTACAGATTCACCCGCAAATTTGTCCTGAAAACTTAAAAAAAACATCAGCCTACGGGTCCGCCTACCTGTCGGTCACACGCAGTAGTGTATCCGAGTGACTTAAAAGCAGGTAGCGGACTGCCCAGTGAGGCGATACGCACATATGTACGGGGTGGGCGAGACTTTTGTATATATGAGCTTTACACTTGATTTCGTGAGGTATATATATATATTAAATAAGTACATATTAATAGCTATTATAATCAGTTATATGACATTGTTGACAAAAACGAGATCTCCAAAGAAGTGAGGCTAACGTGTGCGAATACACTCACTGCTGCAATCTGAGGACCCTTTCCCCATGAATAGCTCAAATAGTGTACTAATGTTTCTAGCAAAACCAACGTCTTTTTGATGCTATTTCACTACATAGACACTACATGGAAAATTGTACTAGAAGTTGTTTAGGAAGGAGGAAGTACCCACTTGACGCCTTTCTTAGGCAGAAGCCTAAACTCCGGGCACCACGACTGCTATAAGGAACTTTGTTTATCCGACTTTTGAACTGTCGAAGGTTAGCAGAACTGGAAAAAATCTCGATATCATAAGAATGAAGGAGAGGTCATGCCAGCCAGTTCTCGGTTTGGCAGAATTGGTGTGGGAGGCAAAAGCCTGGCGGGTCCATCAGGCGGGTTCAACTGCGGTGGCCACTTAAGAAACCAAAAGCATTCTGCCCTTGCCTAGTGGCATAGCTAGCTCCTGACTCCTATATCCAGACAGATGGTGAAGATCGAGGTGAAGATTTTTTACAAAAGAAACATTTACACTTTTGGAGAGCATCATACTATGGGGGATTTTACAAAAGGTTACTATTATGCCAAAAACGAAAAAGTTTGTAGTTATTGAATGTCGGTCCAGTGGGGCGGAAAAAATAACTAAAAACGAAAAAAAAAAGCTCAAACTACATTTTTTTACGTTTTACAGAATCCTGAAAAATGTTGTAGGGGAAAAAGTTGTGGAGTGGGGGTTCAAGGGGGTTTAGGAGGGTATATCTCAATTTTTCACGTTGGTATACTTATACGCCTCCAGTTGAAGTAATTATACGCACCTATTAGATATATTTCGCTCATCATAGATGTACCCGTACATTTATCCTTAAAACTAAGAATGGAGAAATATTTCCGACCCTCGCGTATCGGTAAAACGTACTTCGTGGACCGTAGATCTTCATTTACGCGAGATATGCTCATAGTTTCGACTATTTGCGCCCGCACACATGCCTCCAAAACTTTTTAAATTTCGAGGGGTAGCATACTTTCCCAAGAGGGCAAGTATTAAAGTGGCCCAGAAGCATGCTAAATATGCAAACTTTAATTGTATGACCTATTTGACTAGCTTGATCCATTCAATTTTTTTATCATACATGTTCACAGGCAACTTTTTTCTCAGATTGTGTCGAACACAGCGTTGCGTAGTAAGTGCAGAGTCAATCTACTTGACTTGACTGTTTGGTTCTAATATTTGTCGAGAGATTTACCTTGGGAGCGACTAAAATTCCTCGAAAAGTACATATTTTCCTTCGTTGTGTCTAAGAACTGGTCTCAGTACTCAGTAGAGGAGTTTCAATATGTCGTTATTGTTTGATTAAAATAAACAACTGCAATTTTATCAAGTTTTTTATTTCCACTCAATGATCTCAAAACAGATTGTTAAGTTCTAGTGTTCCTTGTTTCCTAGTTTCTTTTTCATTAACTATTAATTAGTATACGATATTGCCTAATAACTTAACTATGGATGCTTCTGAGAAGTTCGGTAAAAGTTGACCCCAGAATGAGACTCCGTCCTTCACATATGCATCGGGGATCCAACCACGTTCATCCAACAATCCTGGAAAATAAATAATAAAAATTTTCAATAATTTCGCCTTTTCTTCGACACTACATCTCGCTCATTTCCATCGGTCTGTCTCTGTCACAAGGTTACTGCTATGCCAAGGATAAAAAACTATTGTAGTATTTGAAAATCAGTCAGAGACGGCCAAGCCAGATGCAAAAAGTCGAAAAAAATAAGTCACTCAAACCTCTTATTTTGGTGTTTCAGATGATCCTAAAGTTTTTCAGAGTAATTTTTGTAGGGGGAAACACTGGCGGTTGGGGATGTAGGGCGGAGAGTATTTTTAATTTTTTGTACTGTATGAGCCAGTTTAACTGATTTGATCTATTTACTTTTTATTAATCTTACATGTTCGTAGCTAACTTATGTCAGGAGGGTTAACGTGTCGAACATATTCCTTCTGAATGGTCGCGTGCGAAGTGCAGCGTCGACTTACTAGACGCGATTTCTTCTTTTGTACTTTCATCCTTACCAACATACGTGGTTGTAGCGATTAGGTTCCAGGAAGTTAGTGATAACTAAGCTTGCTATGCTGTGACGCTCATCCGAATCTGGCAAAAAATCTTTGACACCCTTCAAAAATTGCCAGTGGTATATGGAGAGGAATACATGTTGAAAATCTGGGTGTCTGAATGGACTAGGTGGTTTGGAAAAAAGAAATTCGCTTAAATATTTTCTGATGCGTGCAACTTTTAGATTCACAAAGACTTGACAAGCTAAGTCTGAGTTTTCAGCACTCTTAGGAAATGACATTGTTAGGCCCATGTGGCCGCTGCCATAAGTCTCTACAGCGCTTTCGTTCCCTTAATGAGCATTTTGCCAGGAGACACAGGATATCGAAGCCTTCATGGGTCCTGACGAGTGGACAAAATAAAGAATAGATCTTACCTGCTGTTAAAAGTAATGGGAGAAGCTCTGCATCTTTAACGAAGGCCAGCTTCTTGATAAATGCATCTGCAGCAACTCCTGTGGAAGATACAGTTACAGATCAATTCAAAAAGTATGATTGAATCAATCCGGATCGTTCTCCAAAACGTTTGAAAAGTAATTACCTGCACTAACCAGACCGAGCTTGATTAGAAGTCCCTTAAGGATTTTCTCGCCAGCTATTGACCATGTTTTGTCAGCAACTACAAGCATAATTATCAAGATGAGATTAAAGAGATTATACAGTGCATGACATAGGGTGTTTAAAATTTGAAGTAGCAGTCGTTAGGAGCGCAAGTGAACGAAATCAAGATCATCAAAACGGGT